AGTTGCTTGCCAGTTCTTCTCAATTGGATCTATACCTGGACGGTAGTGAATAAATTATAATATAAAAAAAATATGTTCATAAGCGGCTAAAATAACCTACATGAATAAATGATTTTTTAATTTGATACGTTCTAGGTGAATTTGTCACGATGGGCTAACTGACCTGACCTCATGCTCATCTTATCATCCACCACTAGCTTCCCAGCGTAAGCTGTTAACGCAAGCGGGTGCACTATTCCATTTTCATTCATAAAAAAAAACTCTTCTAGAAATAGTTTCTAAAATCTAGTATTGTTTGGTAATTTAATTGAGTTCCTGCCAGTTCTTCTCAATTGAATCTGTATACTCACCTGGACGGTAGTGAAAAATATGAATATAAAATTTGACGTTCATAAGCGGCTAAAATGTCCTACACCAGTGGTTCCCAATTAATTTTTGCTGTGTACCACTTCAAAAAAGACCTCAAACCTTGCGTACCCCTTATTGTACCAATCACACTAATATTATAAATGCAAAAGTTTGTGAGTGTGTACGAGTATGTTTGTTACATCTTCACCCTCAAACGTAAACGTAATAACGTATAAACGTAAAAAAAAGTTAGTTTAAATAACATTAATAACAAGTGACGGGTGGCGGGGGCAGTCGAATGACGAGATGCGGGATAGCGCACGGTCGGTCATAGTGCCGTGCTTTTACAGTGATGATCGTTATAAAATAATATTTTGGAAACTGTTCTTGTTTTTACTGATAGCCGCATGTACTCCTTGATTCAACTTCACGTACCCCTGGGGGTACGCGTACCACTAATTGGGAAACACCATACTACACGAATAATTAATGATTTTTGGATTTGAAACACAGCCTTATCTATTAGGCAATTGAGTCTACTTGGGCAATTGTATATGCAGAGTGACCTTTGTTCGTTTGTTTATGGTAGTGATAATACTATCATAATACACGGTGCTTGTAAGGTGTGTGGGAGGTGTGACGTGGAATTATCTTATCATTTTATCAATGCGTAATCACAATGCCAAAATCTATACAAATAAACAAAATTGATGCGTCTGTTTGTTATTTCAAATTAACAGCTTTTAACTAAATGCATATGAAAGTATAAAATTTATTTGTCTGTCTGTCAGTTTGTTCTTACTAATATCTAAAATGGTTGGATTGATTCACTCGCAGACAGCTAAAGTAATTAGGTGTGTCTTAGGCTAGTAGCTTTATATTAAAAATTATATATTAATTAAAAAAAAATACTTACATTCCACGCTGTCAAAATCGCGATTACCATATATATATATATATATATATATAACTAGCTACCCACCCCGGCTTCGCACGGGTGTACATATATTATACACGTAAACCTTCCTCTTGAATCACTCTATCTATTAAAAAAACCGCTTCAAAATCCGTTGCGTAATTTTAAAGATTTAAGCATACATAGGGACGGACAGACAGCGACAGCGACTTTGTTTTATACTATGTAATGATAATATTGTAACCGATCCATGTCTGTACGTAGAATATACATATAAATGGTATTAGAAAACATATTATTCTGTGAAAAGCCCTAATTATTTTTATAATTTTTGTAAATTCAGCTTAACCGATTAGAGTGCAGTTTTCAGTAATGTATTATAGTATATATATGACAGATTTTATATATTGAAAATTTTATGAAAATTGACGGCATCGTGTGCCTAGCTGTTTGTCAGACTGCCTCACTTGCGATGGTAGCGGGTTCGCTTCCTCGCACGTTACAAACACTTGTATTCATGACTATGATTTTTTTTACCTTTGTGGGTGTTTTTATGTATACTATGTATGTATTTACAAAAAAAATATGTTCAGTATTTATATCAGTTATCTAGTACCCATAATACAAGCACTCCTTAGCTTGGGACTAGATGGCGCTGTGTTAATTGTCCAGCGTTATTATTTTGAATATTTATATAAATAAATATTATGTTATTGTATATTAATTAATATTGATAGTTAATATATACGTTGTAAGAAATGTCCTGAGATATTATTACTGTAATATTTAAGTGCATTCAACCCATTTGACGTTAAAATTATAAATAAAATAATTAAGTCGCAATTTATCAGCGCCATAAAAGATTATATGTATCACATAACAAAAAGATTATGTAGCTTCTTAATTGTATAATTTAAATTGATGATATCGTGGGAAACGTGTGTGGATTACTTTAGCGAGTTACGTAAGAGAGTCATAGACAAATCTGTACGATCATAGACAAATAATTTAATTCAAATTCAAATTCAAATTAAAAAATCATATAGGATATTCATGTAGGACATTTTAGCCGCTTATGAACGTCAAATTTTTACATTCTAATTTTATTTTTTTTACCGTCTATTATTATAATGGTTAAAGATTGATAGGTGAATAACCTGTAATAGTCGAACAATCTGTAAAAGGTGGGAAGACAGCTTTGCGTCACTAGGAAAATATGGTTTTATATAAAGCTGTGGTACCAATGTTTTTTAACAAGACAACAATGTTTTTTTTATTTTTTTTAATAATGAAACCTGCTAATAATGAAGCTGCTTCGGATATTCTCTTCAAGGACTCTCACGCTTTACATGTGACTCAGAGTTCAAAAAGAGGAAGCAGTCAATTGCGTAGGATAATTTTTCGAAATACTCAATGTTGTTGGCCGCAGCTGGCCTTTACAGCTTCAGCGGAAGGACTTATGGAGCGGCTGAAGGCCAACCCCCGCCTGACGGATACAATTTTGGTCTGAGGGTAACGCTAGGGGTTGGAACCTCGGCTCAGGCCGTCGTTTCGATCCCCGTTTGAATTGGACGGAGGTTCAATTGGAGATAGTATTCCTAGGTAGTACACACAATCGTCCCGACCCTCCTTTATTCAATGGTATAGAGACCACTACGGCTGGAGAAGGGTAAAGATGGGGAAGAGGATGGAAAAATGGACGAGGATAGCATGGATAATAGTGGAAAGGATAAAACAAAACGATGCAAAAAATTAATTAAATCAAATAAAAAATAAAATGATTTATAATTTGAATTGATTTATTTTCCTATTTTTTGTATTTTTGTCTTGTTTTGTATAGTTATTCTTGTATTTATGTCCCATATGAATAAATGTTCATGTAGGACATTTTAGCCACTTATCAACTGTATGTGTTGTCCAGGATTCTTATTATTGTTATATATTTATAATAGTATGGTTTCCAGTGTTATACAATATATGTATGGGACATGATATTAGAAACCAATAAAAAAAAGATAATCATTTATTTATCCAAGTGATATTTAGAAGTACGAGTATATTTTATGTCGCTAAAATGACTGTCTTAAATGGTATCAATTTTATCGCAACTTATTAGTACTATATCTAATAAAATGTACGATAATTTCTAATATTATATAAATTGAAGGAGTTGTTAGTTTGTTTGTTTAAAGGAACTAAACGCAGAGACTACCAGTTTTCGTCATACTCGTGACCGAGTGCTGCTTATGGGGACTGGTCTTTTCGGATTACACTGATTAGACTATTTGCTTTTGCAATAGCATGAGCTGGTCACTCTATTCTTCCAAATTTGAATTTAAAAATGAATCTCTATTATTGTAATTATGTACAACATTTGAAATTTAAAAAGAATACGAGCTGAGTTTCTTTTCAGTTTTTCTCATCTCGAAATCATTCCATTATAGATTAGTATAGGTAGATTTGCAATATCATAGTCTGAAATAGACCTATACGAATGAAGTTATTATGAATTTATTGAATAATTAATTTCCTTCTTTATTGTATTTATACTTGGTGAAACTGTAAAGGCCAACTGCGGCCAACGTATACATATGTTACGAACTTCTTAGCAATCCATAGACTCACCGTGCAGATACCAGGGTCCATCGCATGGCAGAGAGGGAAACTCCGAGCAGTTACCGGGATTTGTGACCAGGGTGTAGGTTTAAGGGGACACAACACTCACCTTCACCTCTCGCGTTTCTCTCTGATTTGGCTAGCTTGTCTGCTTTAGATACACGTTCAAGACAGGCCAAGATCTTTTAGAAAGTTGTAGAGATATTTTGCTGGTAAACCTCACCACTTCGACATATAAATTACTATTGTTGTTTCCAGGGGTAATTTTTAATTCGATCGGTATCTCATCAGGAATTGACGGTCTCAGTGGTTTTGCGGTTTAGCCCATCTTCTTACTTCCAATGATCACAGGTTCGAATTTTCGCACGGCATAATCATTTGTATTAGTGAGTATGTTGTTTGTATCGATCTTGATGTTTTTATATATGTATGTATTTAAAAAAAAATATATCTATATATTTATATCAGTTGTCTAGTAGCCACAACGCTAGCTCTGCTTAGCTTGGGACTAGACTGCGTTGTCTAAGTTACTCAAAATAATTAGCCAAAGGAACAATCGTGAAACTTGTAGTATCGTCGTAATAAATAGAAATAGAAATAATCTTTATTCAAATAAACTCAGTACAAGCACTTTTGAATAGACATATTTTTGATTTTACTGCTCATTCGGACCGCAGATTCATCACAAGAGCTGTGATGAATCTGCGTGTTGCTCTTTTGAATAAATTTTTATATTTATAAATAATAACACAATAACAAGTAAGAGGCATGCGTTAATCAACATAGAAACCGCTACGCACTCATTCCTAGTACAATCAGATAATATTATCAGCGCTATGTATTTTAAGTTGACACATAAATTTATTACAAAGTAAAAACAAATATACAATTTTTTTTAACTGCCAAACATGAACTCGCGACCTCTTATGTATAAATCAGGATTAATAGTAACCCATTATGCGACAACGATATTATTACGACTAACATTCCATATCTATAAAAATAAAATTGCTGCAGGCGAATCCGCGGGGTAAAGTTAGTAAAGTATTATTTAATATCTATAAAAACTTTAATAGGTAATTTGTAATACTAGTAACAATAGATACGGTACGCAGACAACATGTTTCAAGTTGTTGCGTTTTTGTTATTAATGCTCTCGTGTAATGTTTTTGCTGACGTTACCGACGGTACGGAACTCTTGTTAACTTTCCTGGTGAGTTACTCTTCACTATTCTTCGTGTATAGGGTGGAATTAGACTAGAATGATTATAAGACTAATTTGCAATACTAGTAACAATAGATACGGTACGCAGACAACATGTACGGTACAAATACGGTACATAGACCAAAATAATATTTTTTACAATTTTTGTCAGTCTGTCTGTCTGTTTGTTCCGGCTAATCTCTGAAATGGTTGGACCGATTTTAACGGGACTTTTTTTGGCAGGTAGCTGATGTAACTTAGCCTACTTTTATTTTAGAAATATAAAGTTAAATTCCACACACACGAAGTCTCGGGTAAAGCTATTCTATAAAAATGTACAACAATTCATTCTACGATGGCCAGCATTATACTTTCAACAAGATACGATTGCATGTGTTTATGCATCTTAAAACCCTATAACTATAGTACCTAATAATATCTCAACCATATTTTTACGACGACTCGAATGAAACTTCTAATATTGAAATATGTATTCATGGAATATGATATATACACCAAAATATATTTTTTTTTAATTTTTGTATGTCTGTCTGTTTGTTTCGATTCTCTGAAAAGGCTGGAGATTTTAATTTTTAGATCCATCGTCATGGCGACAGGACTCCGGTACAATCCTTTTTAAAATATAGCAACCAACCTGAGGAATTAGCAGAGCTCAGTGCCCCATATGGGTATGGACAATTAACACCAGTGAGTATATTCAAATAAAAAAAAACAGCATAACATTCATACTAGATTTAAAAACAATCTTACTGTTCGTAAGTATCGTTTAGAAAGAGTCAATGGGTCATTTATGGAAATGGGTATACAAATTTACAATAAGATACCAAAGGATATTTTGGAATTATCTTTAAAAGCCCAATTTACACTCAGTCCGAGTGGGCAGGGAAGTGAACACGGAAGTCAGCAGCGCGAGAGTGTAAGCACGATAATTTCCATGCCATTGACGCTGCCACTCGCGCTGCCCGGCGCTCCCTCGATTGTCGGTTTTTAGTGCGCGAGTCAAATGACTGGCAGCGCGAGTGGCAGAGTGTGTTTACTCAGTTGTCGCTCGGTAATATTTCCGGCAGCGCGAGTGGTGGGGGAAGCGGCTGAACGTAAACGTAACACTAACAAATTCAAAACATCTGTTAAATCATACTTATTGAGCAAAGCCTATTTACTCACTAAACGGTTACTTGAATGACGAGTGTGCAAAGCAATAGTTGTTCATGCACGGACGTCGTCGTCGATCTCTGATTATATTAATTTACTGGTAAAGGCTATAACAGAATAGCAGAGAGGGTGGACTCACTGCCCCCACTGAGTTATAGACCGTTTTGTCTCCTGCATTACTTTTAAATTTCATTATTTTTTAGATTATTATTATTATTATTTTCAGTAAATATAAGACATAGTCACCTATATAAGAATAAGAGTTAAGTATTTTGTCAGTTCTTAGAACGAAAACAGTCTAAACTGCGGTAGTTTTGATGTATGATAAGAGTCTGTAATAGACCTACATTAATAGAGATACTTTGATTTAATTTGATTTTATTTCTATTTCTTGTTCTGCAGAGAGGTAAACGACGTGCTTACGCCATGGGAGAGTCTCTTCGTAACCGCTATGATATACTTTTGGGGCCTACATACAACTTTTCACAAGTATATATTCGGTCTACTGACTCCACTCGTGCTAAAATGAGTATTCTCTCAGCTCTAGCAGCTATCTACCCTCCAACTGATGACCATCGTTGGAGTGACGTCCTAGACTGGTTACCTATACCATACACCACTGTACCAAGCAAATATGACTTTGTAAGTAAACATTATATCTTTACATAGTATAGAACAAAGTTGTCGCCGCTGTCTGTCCGTTTATATCTTAATCTTTTTATCTATATTACTCAACGGATTTTAATGCAGTTTCCAGCAATATATAGAGTGATTCAAGCGGAAGGTGTATATTAAATGCGTGTTACAGTACAGAACAAGCTGAGAAATTAAAAAAAATGTAGTTCATCCGTGCGAAGCCGGATCGCTAGTATATTATAAAAACAAAAATATATTTGTAATACTTTTTCTTTTATTATACTGTTTGTTTGATGATAATCTTTTTTACCTGTAATTAAGTTAAAATGTGTCTTAAAAACAAACAATCTGACTTACCTGGTGCTAAGTTAGCCTTGAAGGATTAAGTTCATTTCTGGAAGGTGATTCTACTATGTGGTGGGCAAGAAAATTCTAAAAAAAAACGCACTGTGGAGGACCGCAATTCATCCAGATGATCAGGATGGTATTTTAATTTCTTACGGGTTTTGCGATGCTGAAATTTAGCAGCTGGTATTAATCCGAACAATTCCTCAGAACACTCTCTATGATATACATAACTTATTAATGACAAATTAATAACCAGTATTCTCAAAGTCTATTTTGTACTTTGCAGAATTTAGCTTTCGCCAACTGTCCTGCATTCTCAGATGAGTACAAATCTCTAGGTCTCAAGTCACCATTACTAGCACTATACAGTGACGCCCTCAGTGTGCTGAGTAAAAGGTTCAATACTGAGGTAACGGATAGCTCTATGCTCATATATTCACTGTATGATCTGTATGTAAGTCAGGTAAGTGTATTTTATATTAATTAGCTTCATAATAATGATTTAATTCTTACAAACTGATCAGGCCATTACTGTATGGACGTAAAAACAAAACATAGTTATTTATTTGCCCGAAAAGACGAGACGAGAAAAATAATAGAATAGAAAATCATTTATTCAAATAAACTTACATTGAAGCACTTTTGAATAGACATCATATTTTTTTTAATCTACCGCTTATTCGGAAAGCTCTCTCATCACAAGAAGAACGAGCAAGAAACTTGTGTGTTGCTCTCTTAAATAATTTTATTCTTACTTTACAATTTAAGTTTAAGCGTGTGAATACAGACTACCGATAAAAAAGTAATAATAATAATCATGAGACGTGTTCATATTTTGAAATGAAATTATAGGATAATATAATATCTCACGACAATTTAGATTGAATACAAATGCCTGTACCTTGCGAGGAATAGATCTCAGGACCATCGGTGGTAACGCAAAACCACCGAGGTTTTTTTTTTTTATAAATGATAATGTAATGGTGCACCCGACTGCGCTAACGGTTTACGCTGGCGGGGCACCAATGGAGGATGATAAGATGAGCTTGAGGTCAGGTCAGTTAGCCCATCGTGACAAATTCACTAAGAATTTATCACGATGGTTTCCAGGGGGAACCGCGTGGAGGTCAACCTGACAATGTACCATCATTGCTAGCAATAAGATAATCAATCCACATTACTAACAATCCCCTTTCCCCCTAACCACCTAGGTTGCCAGATATACATTTGTATTCATGAGTATAGTTGTTTGTATAGTGTTCACTTATTTGTTATTTGTCTTCTTGTATCTCCTGGTATGTAAGTTGTTATCGACATAATATCGGCTAGTTAGCCACAGCTCCACGTCTTTAATCAGCGGCGCTTGCGCAAGGAATCTCTCCCCTCTTGCGCACCGCCGCCCGTGTACGCTCGGCGCGAGACGACAGATAATAAACCGCTAGTGTTTCCACATACACTACAGTTTGTATCGGTCTTAGGGTTTTCTATGTACATTGGGTATGGAGTTACAAAAAAAATGTATGTCTGTATTTATACCAGTTATCTAGTACCCATAACACAAGCTCTGCTTAGCTTGGGATCACATGGAGCTGTGTGAATTGTGTTGGGTTATTATTATTATTATTATTAATTTCTACTCATCTGTCTATCTATAGAAAAAATATGTATCTAAATGATTTTTTTAATATACTATATTGTTTTTTTTTTAGATTAGTTTAGGGTTACCTTTGGATGAAGATATAGCAGATGTCATAGATGACCTAGGAGCGGCTGCTAACGTAGCTGTCGATTTGCTGTTTGGCGATCCCAAGTACATAGCGTACCAAGCTGGTATGTTATTTTTATAGTCTAGGAGACAAACGAGCTTGTCTCTTGATTGTAAGTGATTACCGCCGCCCATGAGCACCCGCTACACCAAGGGAATTGCAAGTGCGTTGTCGGCCTTTTAAAAAGGAATAAGCTCTTGAAGGTTCCATTATTGTATCCGAATATCGTATATAAAAATATAAATACTTCATTCATATTGAAGGCCTCGATGATCTAGTGGTTTTGCACACCGCTTTACTTCCGAAGGTCGCATGTACAATTCCTCGCAAGTTCATTCGAGTTAAGTTTAGCGTAATTCTAAGTAGAAATTGTGCTATTTAAATAAATCATTTACAATTTGAGTTAAATAAAAAAGACACACTGCCATATTGCCTCGGAGTTGGTTTTATTGTTCATCAAAATATTATATTTACTTTCTAGGTGTGCTACTCCAACAGTTCTATGAATATTCGGCGCTCGTCATCGACGGTGCTGATACCCAAAAAGTCAGGATATACTCAGCACACGACTTCAATGTGTACTCATTCAAAGCTGTCGCCCAGATAACGCCAAGACAAGGTGTACCCAAATATTCCTCTGTGTTCGCATTGGAGCTACGAAAAGTCTCCGAGACAGGTCAAATTGTTGTTCTTGTAAGTAAACCAATATATATTGATGGCCTCGGTAGTCTAGCGGTTTAATACACCGCTTTACTTCCAAGGGTCGCGGGCTCGATTCCTCGCCCAGTTGTGTTCGTGAGTATGATTGTTTGTACTGTTTGCTATGTACATTATCATAGCAATATATCTAAAATAATATGTCTATGTATTTATATCAGTTGTCCAGTACCCATTAAAATAATATGTCTATATATTTATATCAGTTGTCCAGTTCAGTTCGTCCATTATATAAGCTCTGCTTAGCTTGGGACTGGATGGCGCTGTGTGATCGTGGATAACATTATTAACATAATTAATTGTGGGTTAAAATTAGAGATGAAACGGATAGTATTTTGGCCGGATACCGGATACCGGATATTCGGCCAACCATGTGACCGAATAGCCGGATATCCGGCCGCCGGATATCCGCGGGAACTTATCTAACTAATAAATACATTTTCTTTCTATAACAGTCATTTATTATTGAGTGATTAAAAATTTTAAATTAAAACTAGTTTTATTCCTTAAGTAATACCACAGATAATATAATATGTAATACTAAGACTAACTAAAAAAAATATTTTTTTTACCCAGATATATTTTTTAATTCTGCCGGATGTCTATCCGGCCGAATAGTAGTTATCCGGTATTCGGCCGAATAGTATTAAGGTCACCGGATAGGCCGGATACCGGATATTTACAGGATATCCGTTTCATCTCTAGTTAAAAGGAATAATCAGGTGGTTACGGCTAGAGTAACCTAGTCTTCAGTCCTAGACGAATTATTTTAAGAATGTATTTAAAAAATTGTATAAATGTCAATTAAGAATTTTTAAAAACTAAACAATCTTCAATTACAGCCTGTCTACTTACCTGAACCTGGGGAAGAGGCAATTTACCTGCAAGTGGACGGGTGTGACCAGCTTTGTGATTACAACCAGTTCGTCGAAATCACCCAGCCGTACTCATTCGATGAGAAAACTTGGAGATCTGAGTGTGGTTTCACTGAAGACATTGTTATTGATGAGTCCAGTTTTCAATGAGCAGTCTGTATTCTACACTTCAGTGTATATACAATAATTAATATATATCTACTTCAGTATCAACCTGCCTGACATTCGTATGGAAAAAAATATTACAGAGAAATCACATTTTTTTTAATTTAAAACACAGCGACTATAATTATTGACTTTTTTTTTCTTTTCCACGAGGCACGTAGACTAGATGAAAGATAGAAAATGTTCCTGGCAGCTTTTTATAAACTTTATATTTTTGATATTTGTTTTTTATATGTCACTTTTGACTATTACTTCTTCACTGTGAGCCCTTTTGGGAAATATACATATTCATTACAATTATTAAAGAATTTTATTAAAAGTTGTTGTGTTCCTGTTCCAGTTATAGAAAAAAAAGTCGTTTATGATTTTTTTAGTTTCACAGATAACAAACCTTTAAAATTCTTATATTTATATATTACAAATAAGAAATCTAATCTGTCCTCTTAATAATATTATCTTAGTTTTGGAGCTAAGAAGTATTTGCATGAGTCATTGTTCCGAGTTAGATATGATTTTCTGACTAATATCAAATACAGAAGCGATGTTGTAATAATTTAAAAATTCCTATTTGTTACTTACTTTTGTAAATACATATAACTACTAACATTGCAATACAAAAAATGCGCAAATATCAAACTTAGTGTCGTTTGTCTTTGTTAAAGTTTTTGCCAATAAACACATCATTTATTGTCTGTTGTTTTTGTATGACTACCCTCTGGATTCCGTTGGGATTTCTATAATAACCTATAAATATAATTAATTGAAGTAATAGTAGGTACCCAATATCAATTCTTATCTGTAATGCTATGTAACTACGTAATATAATGTTTAGTAAAATTTATTTTGCAATATTTATGAACTTCAAAATCGGTCTTAACAATATCTCAGGACAATTCACACAACGCTATTTAGTCCCATGCTAAGGAGAGCTTGTGTTATGTGTACTAGACAACGGATATAAATACATAAATACTTTTTTTATAAATACATAATATAGATAGAAAACACCCAGACTGATACAAACAATCATGCTCATGAATACGAATGATTTTACGAATTTTTGAATTTTTTTATTTTTTTTTTAATTCCTACAATGAGATTTCTATAAAATATATCTACGTATATATATACACTATATATATATACACATAAAAATATATTGTATATTTTATAACAAACGTTTCTGTACTCGAAGAACTCTGCATTACTCAGCATCTAGCAGCAATAACACAATCGCGCATTCTTACCTTCTTCGGTGACGTCTTGTGAAGAAACCACGCATCCATAGAGCGGTTTCTCATACAGAGTAGGGTTGCGGTAGTAGACCCCGTCACCGATTCGAACACCCATAATCACCCATGCGATGGACCAACTAAGTCAAAGCAGCGGTAGGCGGTCCACTCCACGAATGTGTCAGAAAAAAACTGGCAGCCAGTAAGTACCAGTGGCACACAGTAGGGACATGGTAGAGACATTAATAAAAATCTCAGGGCAGTTCACACAGCGCCATCTAGATCTAGATCCACGTTAAGCTAGGTAAAGCTTGTATTATGAACGTACGTAAAATACATGCATATTATACATAGAAAATACCCAGACCGATACAAATAATCATACTCATGAATACAAATCTTTGTGCCGTAGGAGGAATCGAACCCGCGACCATCGGAAGTAAGGCGATGTGCTAAATCGAGGCCCTCAAATGGCGAGCTGCCGTACGGCGGATGACATCAGTCACATACCCCACTACATAGTATCCACAACCGTTCTGCCAAGAACATATCGAATCAAAAAATAAAATGTTTTATATATTATACAGCTATTATACCATTATCAGTATCATCATCATCATCATCATATTACGAGAGAATGGTCTGATCTCAGTTTATTATGACCGACCGCCTGCATGACGTCAACCCTCCTTGGGATTTTCATGATCTTCCCAGTTAGCCTCACCTTACAGTAATCTTCCAGGAAGGCTTGTTTGGTTTGAAATCAGATTTTCCATCTCCTATTTTAACTACCAACCAAGGTTGACGAGGTCCAACTCCCCAGGCATAAGTGCTTTGTTTATTGGCCCTAATTCGACATGCCATATGTCATTATGGAGTTTTTCTCTCTATTTCTCGAGGTATACCTAACGTTACCATTTATTCTTCAAAATACTCAAAACAGGACATCGGTTTATTTAGGTCAATTAACAGATAGGCAATAAAAAAAATCTTTTTAAAAATTATCTACCATATTCAGAAAAAGTTATCTTAAAAGTTACATATTTAAAAATATACCCGATAAATGTATTTAAACATTTTGTTTAATCATATTATATTTATCTGATAAAAATAAAATGTTTAGTTATATTTATATATTTATCGAGGAACAAATATATATTACTTTTTTAAGAAGATTTTAAGAATGACATCACTCTTGACATGTTTTTTTTTATGATCACCTTAATTACCAACAACCAAACACCGGCTCGTCTACTCAAAATTTCCAGAGTTCATTACGGGGACACTTGGACTCGTATTTATAAAAAGGGATTCTCCCGTTCAAAATGGGACGTCTGGTCACATCAGGTATACCCCGCCACAGGCTCGCCAGCACCTCTCCGATACCTGTATATTTACTGAATATAACCAATTCACAGGTAAATGCGCAAGCAAAGGCTAGTATTATAACAAAACGGATTTATATTAAAATATCAATAGTATGCAAATGGAAGTAACAATTTATAACAATCTGGCCTATTCCGTTTAATTAAGATTTTTCTGATATTAAAAGTTACTGATTTCATTTCAATCTTGCTTGTTATTATTTCGGTGACAATAAAGTGCTAACTTTACTAGGATATTTCAGTATTAATTTTACTCAACTAAATTAAATTATAATATATATATATTTACGAAAAAAAGAGCCAGAATAATTCACAATGCACCATCCTAGTTTACTACTTTTTTGAGCAATAATTGTGTATAATTTAACTCAATTATATATTTTTTGCCATTGTAATGATATCATTACAATGGCAAAAAAAAAAAATATAAATGGTTCACAATGGTACAAATAAATAGAAATAGAAATATATATTCAAATAAACTTATTACAAGCACTTTTGAATAGTCATACTTTTGATTTTACCTCTTATTCGGAACGCATCATAAGAAGAATGAGCAAAGAACTTGTGTGTAGCTCTTTTGAATAAATGTTTTTTTTTTTATAAAATAATTACAGTATAACAAGTAAGAGGCATGCGATAATCAACATAGAAATCGCTACGCTTCTTAGTGCAAGCAGGTAATATTGTTAGCGCTATGAATTAAGTTTTTCTACAAAAACATTATTATCGTTAACGAACACTTAAATTTTATTATATTCTTTTTATAATAATGAAATAATTTTTATTTACAAAAATATTCATAATAACACAGATAATATTATATAAGAACAGGTCAATTGACACAGCGTCATCTAGTCCCAGGTTAAGCTGAATTATTATAATTATTAATATATTATATTATTTTATTTATTATAATTAATATTATTAATAATAAAAAAAAATGTGTTCTGGCAACTGATGCAAATACTTGATTATTTTTTTTCTAAATACGTACATAGGGAACACCAAGACCCATACAAATTTGATGTCTACTTGTATGTTTAATTGCCATCCTCAACATTTTTTTTTCGGACTACTCTAATGCTGCTGGCCGCAGCTGGCCTTTACAGCTTCACCGGATGATAGGGGCGAGTGCAGATGCAGATCCAAACTCGCGGAAGGACTTATGGATTGGCTGAAGGTCAACCCCCGCCTGACGGATAAGATTTTAGTATGAGGGTACCGCTAGGAGTTCGAACCACGGCTCAGGCCGTCGTAATTTCGATCCCCGTTTGAATTGGACGGGGGATTGATTGGAGGGCATTTAACTATTACAAAACCGAAGAGATATTAATTGAAATTTGACGGTGGACATAAACTATCTTTATTTCAAAAAAGGCAGACGGAGTTGCAGCTAAAAGCTAGTTTAGTATACTTGGCTCCCTTATGAACAGTTTGGTTTTTATTATAAAACACAGTAAGCGGGGTTGAAACCTGAACATTATTATCTTTAATGTATCTTCCTACAGCGTTATTAATATGATTTATTGTATGACATAAATATATTTAGTACAATGTAAATATAACTATAAAGTAATATATACCTACTAATCTTGTAATAGTTCGACGGCCTCGTTGGTCTAGCAGTTTAGCACGCTTTACTTCCGATGGTCGCGGGTTCGATTCCTCGCACGGTGCATACATTTGTATTTATCAGTAAGACTGTTTGTATAGGTCTGGTTGTTTCTATGTATAATATGTGTTTAGGTACATAAAAGAAATCTAAGTATTTCTATCAGTTGTCTAGTACCCCATAACACAAGCTCTGCCGTGGGACTAGATGGCGCTGTGTTAATTATAATAAATAACCCTGGATTATTATAATTTAATATCTATAGTATTGCTTATATATAGCAATATTGCTACTATATAAGCAATACTCTAACTCAAAGCAAGCTGTGGTTTTCTATAAATATGAGATTAGTTAGTTGGTAGACCGTTAGAATTATATAGAATAACAATGTTTGTACAGCTATATATGCTTATGTTGGTAATCCTTAAAATATGTGTAAGAAAGCCTTTTTAATTATTTATATTTATATTTCCTATTATTAATTATTTAACCAGTTGTTGCGTATTAAATATTTTTTCTACTTTATTATTTAATTGAATTAGTTTGTATTCACACACTTAAACTTAAATTGTAAGTAAGAATAAAATTATTTAAAAGAGCAACACACAAGTTTCTTCCTCGTTCTTCTTGTGATGAGACAGCTTTCCGAATGAGCGGTAGATTAAAAAAAATGTGATGACTATTCAAAAGTACTTCAATGTAAGTTTATTTGAATAAATGATTTTCTATTTTGTTCTATTCTATTCTATAAAT